ATGGGACCAGGTCGAGCAGGGAGTGGGTGGGCGGGGCCGGGAGTGGAACAGGGGCGGGGCATAGAGGGGAGGATTTCCCCCTTGCAGTGGGGGTCAAGATGGGGATACTGAGTCTTCTGTTGGGCTGGGAAGGAAAAGATCGAACATCAAAACCTGGTAGGCCCCTGCTTATCCCCGAGACACTCTGGCTAGAAAACAATGTCAATGTCACACATGGAATAACAATAATTACTAAGTTTTTGCTTACAGCTGTGCAGTAGACACAGGTGGGAAGGTCTGCTGTTTTTCACTATTGACATGGTAAACTGAAGCTTAGTGTGGACGGTTTTGTTTGGTATGCCTCACGAGGGGCTCAAGGGATTCCATGCTCTCTGGGTGCGGGGAGAGAGGTGGGTGAGGCCAACTAGGCTCAGGGGTTTCACTCTAGGAGATGTGACTCAGAAAGCTGGCATTGATACTTGAGGGAGCCAGTCTGGAAATGTCTGTCCACCAGAAGATGTAGCGATGTCTTCATTAATTTGTGGCCTTAAATCTCTTCCCTATAGCTTCTCTGTCAGCCGCAGTTTTCTAGAGTTTTTCAAGCCTGGCTCATCTCTGGATATGGCAACCTTCTCCTGTCTCCACGCCTTCACCTGGGAAGCTGCTGCCTTCCCAGCAGCCACAGTCAAAACATTCTAAGGAGAGTAGGCAGCTGTGCGGCACCAGGACATGCCCGCCTCAGAGCTTTTGCATGTGCTGTTGTTTTTCCCACTTATGGATGCTAGCATGTGATGAAACTGGGCCAGCGTGTCGTGTCAGAGGGACTTGCCCTAGTTGCCCAGCAAATCTGTATCAGTTTTAAAAGCCACAAAAGGAAACCCAGATGGTGGGGGCACCCCCTAGAAGTCCATCCGCACCTTGCACTGAGCTTGATTTGTGTACACAGCTGTCAGGGGCCCACACACCTGCCCAGAGTGGTCCAGCTGCTTTGACCTGGGAGATGCAGAATGTAACTCCACCCACCACTGTGCTTGGCTCCACCCAGTGTCATTCTGAGGTCCCTGCCTCCTCCTTTCCTCTCTGTCTGGGTGAGGACCATGAAGCTGGGCCCTCCCTGCTGCTTCTATTGTGTGTGGTCCTGGGGACACGAGTCCCATCACATCCTTCCTTGTGCAGAACCCTCTGTGGCTCCCACCACACTTGGGTCAAAGTCCGTTCCTTAGCCTCCAGTCCCTGCATAATCTGTCCTGTCACCACCTTGCCCTTATAGCCTCCTTCTTGCCGAGTCCAGTAGAACTGATCCCCTGCTTCTGGCCTCCTAAATATTCCTTTAGAACACTAGGATGTGGCTCACCTCAGGGCCTTTGCACTGGCTCTGGGTTTTGTTCCCCACCCCACCCCTGCCGCAAGTTATTAGTGTGGTCTCATTTACTTGAGGAAACTCAGGACTTGACCTATTTACCTAATGCATCAATGTCAGATTGTTTTAAGATTTGAACTCAAGGAGCTTGCTGCCCACTCCCCAAAAGAATGCAGTTGTGTCAAGATCAGCTAGGTTCCAATCCAGACCTGGCTGTGTGACCTACAGTTCAATTTTTCAACCTCTCTGAGCCTTGATTTTCCTCCTCTGCTCACCCAGGGCTCCTGGTGTGTCACAGGGCAATGCACAGATACGGGTAGGAGAGCAGGATCCCAGAGCCCTGGTTCTCTGGAGAAGCTAATGGGTACTCCTCTCAGAGCAGCTTTGGTTTCTGAAAGGGTGGTTTCAAAGATCCCTTCGAGTCAAGATAGTGCCCAGTACCACCCAGGTGCCTGCCAGACCTGATTGTCAAGGCCACACCTCTGCAGGGCACTGCCAGGCCTGACTCAGCCGGGCGAGGCAAGGGTGCTCTCAAAGCTGCTCAAATGCAGGAGACTTTGGCCTCCACATGATGGGGTGTGAGGTGGGGCTGGCAGACCTGGACGGAGGAGACTGGAGGAAAATACCTCGCTCCCCTATGGGGGGCAGATTACGTGATGCTGAGAGGGGTATTGGGTCCCCAGCAGCTGAATTGCAGGCTAGTTCACCATGTGAGAAATGAGGGGTTCAACCCCTGCTGGGTGTGGCAGCAAACACAGGTAACCCGGAACTTGGTCGGTGGAAGCAGAAGGACCTGGAGTTTAAGGGGAGCCTTGGCCATCTTTGAGGGAGTTTGAAGTTGGTCTGGGCTACATGAGACCCTGTATCAAAACAGCAGCAAACATCTTCCTTCGTTCATGCTGCTGTACAATGCAGTTCCCTTTTCCTGGAAACGGAGAGTTCCTGACCTACCATTTAGCGTTTGTTTATTCTATAGTGATGGCTATCATTGTGGCATTAAAATGTGTCTATGTGGGCCTGAGGGATGGCTCAGTGTGTAAAGTGCCTGCTGTGCAAGCATAAGAACCTAAATTCAGGTCCTAAGCACTCTGGTGAAAATCAGGCATGGCAGTGTATATCTGTAATCCCAGAACTGAGGAAGCAGAGACAGGGATCAGGAGTTCAGGGCCAGCCTCAG